CTACTAGAGCTTTTCCGTTGCCCCGGTCTCGTGAGTCATCGCCAGAGGCTCGACCTGCACGTGATCATTCCTCCCGTCCTCCCTGTGATCGTTCCTCCCGTCCTCCCCGTGATCGTTCTTCCCGTCCTCCACAAGACCCTTCTCTATACCGTCTTGTAGATGAAAGTTCATCAGACGGCGATGATGATGTTGTACAAAACACTGCTTGACTTTTATATACTTCGAACTAGACAAATAGAACTCGTTTTGACTAGTTGTAATATATTTTAACTTGGTTTTGGATTTTTATGTCCAATTGAACTTTAATTTGTTAGTTTTAATGTATTTATTGATTGTTGTTGTGTTGTTGTTGTTGTATGTTGCTATTAGGTGTATTGGTATGCTGGCAGGTGGTGTAGCTGCCAAAACAGGCATTTTATACCAAATATAAAACCCAGAAAACCAACCAAAGTTGGTCGGTTTCTAATAAAAAAAATATTTTTATGCAAATTACCGACCAAAGTTTGTCGGTAATCATTAAAAAAATAAAAAATTTATAATTACCGACCAAAGTTGGTCGGTTAATGAACAAGGAATTCCCAAAATTCAACATTACCAACCAACTTTCGTTGGTATTGTTAAATTTTACTTTTTTTTAAAAAATATATATTTTCATTTACCGACCAAGGAAAATTCAACATTACCAACCAACTTTCGTCGGTATTGTTAAATTTTAATTTTTTTTAAAAAATATATATTTTCATTTACCGACCAACTTTGGTCGGTAAAATTGAATTATCAGAATATGTTTCCGACCAAAGTTGGTCGGTAAATGTTTTAAATTCTTCAGATGGTCGTTTTAACATACTGACCAACCTTGATCGGTATATTAAAACGACCATCAAAATAGCGACCAAGCGTATTTGAACGGATTTTGGTCGGTAATTAGCCATAACCGACTAACGTTGGCCAGTTTTTCTGGTCGGTATTTACCGGATTTCTAGTAGTGGTGCATCTATATATCTTTCGCTTTTCAAGTAAAAAAATATATTCTTTTGCATGGTTCATGCTAGCATGTTTATATATACACACATTTTTCTACTAATTTTATAATTTTCTTGAATTTGTTTACATTTTTAATGTATTTTGATTATATATTTATTTTATTAATTTACAAAAATATTAAAAATAAAATACTCATGGGGCTTACGCCCATCACCCCAAAGCTTTCGCCTCGCACCGTGTGAGATAAAATGTCCCGCCTCTCGCCCACGCTAAAACTCTGGAAAGCATTAACATTGAATCTATTACTAGCAGTACCCCAACTGTTTACATTTACACCTTATCTAGTCTAGTAGACAATTCATTAACATCTAATGTTCTGCTTTAGAGTTGCAGAAGTCTAATACATAGCCAGCCACCACATTAATGATAATTTGGTGCAGAACACAAGAGTGTCCCCATCGTCCCCTGCCTTCAACAAAATTAAAGAGTTGGTGCCACTAACTTGACTCAATCGTCATAGTATTAAAGAATTGGTGCCACTAAATTGACTCAATCGTCATAGTTGCAGTATCAGTTACTGGGGATGCATATACATTAGGCAGAAGACTGACAGAAGTAAGATAGCAACATCCATACAATTTGAACAGTTACCTGAGGTTATGTATTACACCTTTCCATAGGCCTTTATTTTCTGATACTTGTAAAAGTTCAGCTTCCAACGTAGTAATGAAGATCTTCCAAGTTTATCTAAATAAGAAAAAGAACACCTTCTGCATTAATACAACTTACGAGGAGATCTATGCTGATACTTTATAGTATCCGGTCAATAATTTCGCTTCAAGCAAGCCAATACAGCTAATAAGAGGTAATTACCCTCCAAGGGTACACCAGATGAAAAGTAACCTTGAACTAGAAGGATCACGGCCTTCTCACATGCATATATATGGCAGATTTCAAAACCCCAAGCCAACCCGAAACAAAAGGAACATAGAGTTCAGACATTATATAAAGGCTGAGAAGCAACAACCATGCTTTGGTTCCCCAACTTCTGCCTTCAAACACATTCCGTCCTGTGCTATAGTACAACTTCGTGACTCCTGCACACATATACATGTCCTTTGCTTTATAAATCATATTAATATTGAAGATGACTGTCTCTCATGTGTTGAATGCAGCCCATCTAGAACAGTATTACAGTCATCATTATAATGTAATGATTACATATATGTCCAAAGAATGAGTGTTTATGATGTTTGAAATGCAGCCCATCTAGAATAGTGTAAGCAGAATCTGTCATCATTATAATGCACTAATAATTACATATCTAGAATAGTGTAAGCAGAAGAACAAATTCTCCAAAATGCTAAAAGAGGAGAAGAAAATATCGCAAAAAACAGTATTAGCCATACCTGTAGTTTATCGAAAAGTGATTGGTCCTTGGGCAGTCAGATACATTTTTAAGCCAAATAGCTAATATTCTCCACATACAGCAGAAATTACCAAGCTTTATCAGAGACTGCAGACGGAAATTCTATGGATACATACTTTTATCAAGCTTTTTGCTCTATGTGATACCGACAATTGATACTACAGCTAGCGTGCCGGCAGTATATAACTTTAGTTCCTTTGCCACCATGTCATTGGAATCTTCAAATGCAGCCAGCTTTCAGCATCAAAGAAGTCAGTGGAAGTACACATATAATGGTTGTCAATGAGACTAAAGAGTAGTTTTTTGAGAAAGGACGAAAGAATAGTAAAATGAATGAGTCTCTCTTCTTTAAGTGACTGTAAACGAGAGAGGTAGCCGACATCCACGAGGCCTAACCAAGAGCAGATGCACCTAGCTAAACATATAGAAGAAGAAAAAGAACTGAAACAGCAAAAAAGAACAGAGTACGAGAGCAGCTTCAAGTTACTTGCTAGAATCAAGAATTGACTAAAAGCAAGACAATCAAGCTACGGTCAAAAGGAACCATGCAAGGATAAACTATGAACTAGCCAAGCAATTTGCTCAAAAAACTCAGCTCGGCAGCCGGCTCCCTTAAGTTCAAGTATAGCTCGTTATTAACAAGTTAAGCTTGATGGTTAGACAAGCGAGCTTGAATAAGCAAGACTCGGATTGTAGACTTTTTACAGCTGTTCTTTATTTCTAGGTCAGTAGGTCTAAATTATAAAAATGAGAGCTAGGGTTTCAGGAACCTAATACACTCGATAAGTGCAATTACACAAGTTTTCATTCTCTTCCCTCATGGCTTCCTTCCTAATCTCCAGCAGAATCCTTAAGCCTTTCCAATCAGCAACATTATCATTCTTGTTATTTTTCATCTAATCCCTCGCGCTTCCCCTTCCCTTTGGAGTCATCCATCACAAATCTTATGCTGCAGTGCTGCTTTGCCTCTTTGCCCTCCGCTCACAATACTGCCTTCAGCTTTTAAAGCCCCTCGTTGACGGCGATAACAATAATATCAGCAACAAGGTTTCCTTATTTTTCTATTTTTTCACCATCCATTTGCTATGTTTGCCTCTGTCTGTCGAGACACTGTTATAGTCACACCAACTTTTTGTGGTTTTTGTTCTTCAGCAATGATGCGACACCAATTCATGCTCAGTTTTTACCAAAATTCAAGCACAGAGTATTTTCAATCAAGGCAAGTTCCTGCGTCCACCTAGGCTCATCTGATACTCGAACGAAGTTGAATCTCTGAAGCTCAGCTTGAATCAGCTCATTACACCTCCAACGTGGACCAAGATGCCAAGCCATTTACAAAATGATTGCAGTTAGCTTCAAACATATTCATGATTACTCTTGCCAGATATAAATCTAGATTTAACACTCCCCTTTCCCAATAAATAGATAAGTAAATCAAGATTTAACACCTTAATGCTTGTGGATTCGCCAAAATTAGCAGAAAAGAAACCCTTTGGCATACTGCTTTTTGGTAGATAAGGATGAATGAATAAAAAATCACACAAGCAACAAGAAACAAAGGGGACAAAAAAGATCACTAATAACAATGCTAAAGATGAGAAACTGGCGTATCTCTATCTCTTGATAAAGAAGATCAACAACATATTATTAATCTATTGAAAACGTGACCATATCTGTAGACTGCAACATATGGAATTACCCTCTTTTTATTTGGTACATTCCTTTGTTATTAATCGTCTGTGCCTAATCAAAAGCGACCAGCAATAGTTGAAACAGTAACTCTATAGTTCTGCAAAACACTAAAGCCTACAGCTCATCTAATTTGAGTCATTTGAAAAAAGCATGACAAAAGTCAACCTCCAGTAAATTGGAACCAGAAGTTCTATAACATCAGAAAAACGTCATGCTTGGGACACTTCAATTCAACCCCAAAATATCAGATCTTTGATCACCAAAAACTTTTTCAACCTATAGCATGTTCTCCCTCACTGGAAGCACAAGATGGAGGGTTAAAAGGCACTCCAAATGATTAGTATGGAGGAATATATATCTGTTTCTGAAGGAATCAAAGTATCGAGATGCACATATGCATCAAACTTACACATGATTTGCTACAATCGCAGAGAAAAGCGTACCTGAATGCAGATGTACAAATATCACCCTGTCATAAAGTAAAATAGATTTAGTATCTCCTAGTTTTAC